CCTTTTCTGGCCTCCACTGGCATCAGACATGTACCTGGTATACATACATACATAGGCCTAACGTGTATTCATAAAACAAGTACATCTAGTGGTCTGAATGAGAATGGTGCTCACAGGCTCATGTTTCAGCTTCAGATGGTGGAATCCTCTGGAAAGGATTAGGAGGTGTGGCCTTGTTGGAGGAAGTGTCCCTGGGGGTGGGCTTTGCGATTTCAGCAAACTGCCATCCCCTGTGTGCTTTCCACCGCTGCTCCATGCCTCACTCCACCGTCTAACCTGGAACCATAGGCCCATGGCCATGGTGTCTTATCACAGCAATGGAAAAGTAAGACAAAATATTAAAATAAAAATTGCTGTTTGAAGCCGGGCGTTGGTGGCGCACGCCTTTAATCCCAGCACTTGGGAGGCAGAGGCAGGCGGATCTCTGTGAGTTCGAGGCCAGCCTGGTCTACAAGAGCTAGTTTCAGGACAGCCTCCAAAGCCACAGAGAAACCCTGTCTCGAAAAACCAAAAAAAAAAAAAAAAAAAAAAAAAAAAAAATTGCTGTTTGAGTTGCTGACTTGAGTTTGATTAAAAAAAAGTTTTATGCTGGGTGTGGTGGCACATGCCTTTAATCCCAGGCAGCATTCAAGGAGGCAGAGGTAGACAGATCTCTGAGTTTGAGGCCAGTCTGGTCTATAAAACAAGTTCCAGCACAGCCAGGGCTATACAGAGAAATCCTGTCTTGGGGAGGAAAAAAAGGTTAATTTTGGTTAGGGATTAAGTCAGATTTTCAAACAACTTTTGCACTAACCCTAAACATTCTTCTGACATTTTGTATTATGTATCTCTATGAAGCAGCATTCTTGCATTGGTGGTTGGGTTTTTATCACTGATTTTATACTGTAAAGCTGAGGATGTTTTATGTCTTATAGTATTAGCTCAGCTATTCAGCCATTTTTAATCCCTAAAGATGTAAAACATTTTCACTGTTTGTGTGTGTGTGTGTATGATGTATATCCTGGCACATATGCGATGGCATGTGTGTAGATGTTACATGAGAATTCTGTGAAGCTGGTTCTTCCACCTCCACAGGGTTCTGGGGGTTGAACTCAGGTTGCCAGGGTTACACAGAAACATCATGCTGACTCAGCTATTTATGTAGAGATAAATGCATTCATTTTAGCATACACCTTTGCTTTAGGCTTTCATAAATGGTAAGGTATATGTGTACCAAAGGACTGTTGTAAATTTATGATTTATTATCAGTAGATGTTTGGCTTACATACACTCTTCTATGTATACACTAGTCACAGATGGAGTAAGTTTAAGAAGCTATGCTGAAAATGAAAATATGTTGTCATAAAGTCATGAGTTAAGTATTCTGAAATAACATTTTCCTAATTAATACCACATTTATCTTTAGACAAACATCAATATTCAAATTTGAATTTACTACTATAGTAATAATGCTAGAGAATTTACTAGAGGCCACAAACACTGGAACTTTTTTATTTCATACATATAGCTTAATACAAATGAACAATTTAATAAAACTTATCTATTTATTAACAGCTTAAATTCTATGACATCTATCCTAATGACAACTTTCCTAAAGGATTGCAGAAACCAGGTCCTTTTGGCTGTGGTCATTATCCATTATCTAAATGCCACATACTGGATAATTCTTGATACATTTTCTTTCATAGTATAGTTAAGATGTTTTCATTTCTTTAAACTAGAAACTTTATTGTGAACTGAAAAAGAGATACAGAGTGTCCAATTTTACATTTTAAAAGGAAGGTAGCTATTTTATAGATATGAATTTCACTTGAAAGAAGTGGGGTGAAGCCATCTTTATATGGGTCTCAGCTCTCCTGTAAATTATATTTTAAGAAATCAAATGTTTTAAAATCCTTGCTAACTAGGAAGGCCAAGAAATCTACATACTAATTTTGGGTTTAAAATAACTTTTTAGGATCCTGTTTGAATGCAGGCAGACCTTTGTTAACAAGGCATAACGCTTTTCAGTTTTGTAAAGAATGTGTAGTAGGTAATGACTGACTATTGACAGGGTGCTTTTAAAGGGCAGTCACTAATTTGTGAAGACTTATAAGGTTCAAGTTCTTCACACTTGGGAAACTGCAATTACTGAGTTGACAGTTTAGTCTTAAATTCCTATAAAGCTCACTTTACAGAAATTCCCTATATTTTCTATAAAAGCAGACTTCAGTATTAAGTTCTGTTCTAGTTTCATTGTGGATGGCCTTTTCAAAGTTTTAAATGCTAGCGTCATGTTTAAGCAAGCATTCTACCACTGGCCTATACTCTCCAGCCAGTGCTTATTTTTAATTCATTATTGGGATCTAAGTAAAATAAGAAGCCTACCCTGATGTTACAGAAGAAATTTGTAAGTACTGACAGGGTTAGTTATTGGAAATGTGTATGGATAGTTGCATGAAAGATGGATGCTGGTTTTCATGCCCCTTTATTTGGATGCAAAGGAAACATTTTAAACACTCAGTGTGACACTGTTTTGACCTAGTATAAAATATAAAAAATGGTGCTTAAGGGAATTACTTTTGTTAAATAAACTATTGTTCACATAAACTCAGTCTCTGTAAGGAAATTAATTCACACCAAATTCTGAATGAAATATTTTTAGATGTAACTGATATCATAAAGTAAACATCCAGCATAAGAGAACACTTTTTCTGTAATTCATGGAGGTCATATAAAAGAGCTGTTAGCTCTGACAAAAACAGACCATGTAAATGTATCCTCTGTGGCTCAGTGTAAATATATTAGGAAACCACTGTGATTTCAGATGGACACACAGGAATAATAGTGAAAACTTGCTACTTAAAACCAAGTAATGAGAAGGGGCTAGTCAGGTTAAACCAGCTTATTGAAAACCATCATTGGTAAGTTTGTTGAGGTAGATGCTTAAATATTCAATATGTAAAGGTATGTATGTCTGAGCTCAACAGTTTAAGACAAATTTTGTAAAGATTGTATATAACCAGGACATGGGCTTAAACACCTGTGAACATGAGATTTTTTGCTGAGGTTTATTTTATTTTTCTTTTAACATCAGGAGAGTGAATGTTATTATTTTAACTAACAGCAGTTTTTACAGTTTGAAATAGTCTGAGCAGAATAGTACTACTAACTTTACTAATCAGCATGCATATATTTTAAAAATCTACCTGTGTATTTTTGTTATGGGGGTATATTGTGTAGCTTTGTTTTGGTGCTGGAAAAGATCCTAATATGATTAGCAAGGAACACACTGTATTAAATCTAATCTCAAATTGTTAGTGGATAATTATTCTATCCAAAATACCAAAGGAAGAGGATGTACTTCGGCAGTACTTTTTATGCTGACTAGACATTTCCTTTAGATCCTGCTAGTGGTTGTTTCAGCACTGTCTGAAACGAAGGGCGAGGTTGTACTAGGATGGCTTATAAAAAGACCTTGAAAATGGAAAACTTAAAACACTCATGTGAATGGTTGCTAAAATTACTTTTGTTACATTTACAGAATAAGAGAAAGGTATAACAACTTAAGCAGAGTAGTATCTTTTGAGGGATTACATTAATATATTTTCATGTTATCTCCATTTTATAGTTTACAGTCTACAGAGAGAAATATAATATATAATCTTTACAGAATTGAGTGAAAATAACGTGGAAGTACAGTATATTTTAGGAGAAAGCATAATTGCCCGAACTAAACTGGTTAACTACAACATTTCACTTTCAGTTTTTTTTAATGCAAAATACAATTAATTACTCTCAGACTCTTGGAATTTATAAAGGTTTTAGAAAAATGTCTGTTATTCACAAATAAGCCTGAATAATAAATGTGGGATTCAAATATATACCAAAAATAGGTAAGCTGAGTATCAAATATATTGTTTCATGATATTCTGGCTAGGGCTTTGATAACAATACACATAGCATGTTACTTTCAAAGTAACACTAGCAAAAGCAAATACTCTTACATAGATGGAAAGCCTTAAGATGTATGAAGGTACTATCTACTAAACAGTACTATTAGTTTTATTCATAGACATGTATTTTAGCCCAGAAATACTAAGATTATATACCCCAAATATATATGTACATCCATGAGTATATTCATCATCCTTCATGAGACAGAATAAAAGTTACTCAAGTTATTACTGGGTATTACTTTTCTGATATTATAAGAGTGTTTTTATTTATAATTCTTACTCTTTCCCAGAAGAAGTACAAGATAGTATTAATTCTTGGAGTAGATGTAAATTTAAAATACTGGAAGTCTAGCATTTCCTACAAGTATTGTGCTATCAATTTTCATTAAGTTCTAAAGTAAATTTCCATGTAGTCAATTTTTGAAATACTGCTGATTTATATAACCTTATTGTTTTACTAATCCAAGCTTCTATCAAAGGAATAATTTTTTAAAAATAGAAGTTACATTTGGCAAATAGAAAGCACTGACTTAAAAGATAGTAATTTTTTTTTAATTTTAAATTTTTAATTATTGACATGTGTTTTAATTTTAGAAACTTCTCTCATTCCATAACAGCAGGCAATCATGACTTCTTTGTATTTAAAAATAAAACTGTGTTATGGGTAAATTCTAATGTTTTAAAAGCCTATAAGCCTCGTGAAGAACCAAATGAATGATAAAAATACTGACAGTATCAAATCTGATGTAATTACATGATGTAATTATGAATACCTACATTGCCTAAGGTGCTATGCCCTATGAACAATTCTACTTCATGTATGAATGACAGAGGAGGGCCAGAAATAGATAATTTTTAAGAACATTTAAGGATAGTGTCACTTTGGTCATAGTAACCACTATACAATAAGTGGTCATAATATGACAGATTTATGGATATTTTATAATACACAAATTATTATGTGTGTAAAATTTGTCATGTAAGTAGAGTTTGAAATGGTTTTCATTATAACTACTTAATATAGCTAAAATACACACAAACATAAATGCAGTGAAACCAGAATGTGAAAATTAGAATTTATACATCATCTAACAAGATAGAGCTTTTAAAATTTCTATCATATTACAAAAGATGGTCTGTTGGTAAGCATTTCCATATATGCCATGAATTTGTACAAATATGAAACTTCTGGAACGAGACTGAAAATCCAACCATCAAAGGTGTCTGTAAATGGTTATGTATGATGTTCATGCTGGTAAGACAGGGAGATAATGAGCTGAAAGACAGCGTCTTACAGTAAGAGACAACTCTTGTATGTTACGGCTTGTAACTCTATATTACTTAGGTGTCTGAGTTAATAAAGGAAACCATGATTTAACTGCATCTCCCATGTTCTGGCTACTAAGATTTCAAAAATTCTTTGAAAAAAAAAAGCAAAAACATGTAACCTTAAGCATATTCCCAAACCTCACTTATTACTAGACCACATACAGGCCTAGTTATTTTCTACTTCTGGAAAAAACAGTAACTCAAGAATCTACTTAACAAAATCAGTACAGGAAGGTGGAGTGGAAACTGGGTCGTCTGCTCTGAAATCTTTCCTAGGATGAAAGTGTGGGCTTCGAGAGTATCGAGGTTTCAAAGCCACAGATGAAGGATGAGAAAAGCTTCTTCTCACAGAATGTAACCTTGGCTCCTATTGAGAAATTTAAAGACAGTTAGGGTTTTAATGCACTTTCAATGGCTTTCATTTGTATAATTACTTAAGGGAAAGATTTAAAAAATAAGATAAACTAGGTCTGGATTTGTTTTTAGACTCACTGGGGATCTAATTCAAGCCAATGTGTGTGCTGGTCAAGCCTAGTTTACCACTGAGCTACATACTCCCCCAGTCCTGGGACTGGGTTCTGATGAAAGTGTTCTTCAGAAAATGCCTCATATGAAGAGTAGGCTAATTTTCTAAACCACTAGACAGGGAAGCATCCTATGGTATAAAGAAATTCCATATGAAAGACCTGAGAATTGCCATATTCAATGAGATTTCTAAATTATACTTTCTTTGGGTCATCTCTAAACTTTGGCTAAGCTTATTTACTTATATATTTATTTTTCAAAAAATTATATGCTTACATATAAGATTAGAATTAAATCTTATGGATAAGAAAGCACTATCAAGAGAAAAACCAATAGATAAATGTTAATACATTTTATTCTTACTGTTCAGCAAATCATTTATTAAGTCCAACAAGTGACTTTTATTTGATTTACTGCAAAATATAAAGATTGTTAAAGACACCAAAAATAAGACATTATCTATAATGACTAAGTTCCTACTTTAGGACATCCTGAGGGATGCAAATCCTGTTGTCTAAAATCTCACCAATGGTTTTGTCTGCTTTAAATGATTGGAGTTCAATACTTGGATTAAAGAATAAAGCCATCGATGAGGTAGTGTCTCTGCCACATTGAATAAAATTTTTGAAGTAGTATGCAGACCAAATCAACTGCATTCGACTATAAAAAATTTTTAGTAGTTCTTCTAAAATTTTAACTAGCATCTTACATACAATTAAGAGAGTTGACTAACACTTCTAAGATTAAAAGACAAAACTTCTCCAAAGGGAAAATTTTACTATGTAGTTTCAAGTTATATGATGTAGACACACAGAGGACACTACAGATCTACTAGGACTCTGAGCATATCTACCAATAAAGAAATACCACGGCAGTGCTAGAGCAAGTAACCGTCAGGAAAAAAGTCACAAAAACAGTGAGTCCTTCGTAGAGTATTATTAACAGGTCTGGATGCTTTCAGGGTTAAATATGTTTTAATGTACAGTTACAGTTTATATTAATAGCACTTTAAGATACTTTGTGACATTACAACATAGTCTTCCAGCTTGGAAAGAATGTTACAATGTAATAATAAGCTAAAGAAAGTTTATCAAAAATCAATATGAGAAAATTTACTCGAATGACATTAGGCTATATTGTCAGGCACTTTTTACAAATTTTTGAGTTCAGGAGATGATAACACAATTTTGATAGTGAAGTGTATCTTAGAATTAGGTCAAGTTTGGGGCTGGAGAGATGGCTCAATGGTTAGAAGTCAAGCACTACTCTTTCAGAGGATATGAGTTCGATTCCTAGCACCCACAGTCGGTAACCACAACCTGCATCTCCACCTCCAGGCTGATCTGGCATCTTTGGCTTCTGTAGGTGCTTGCACTTACATGTACATAACACACAAACACACACACACACACACACACAAATTTATGGAACTAAAAATAAAAAAAATTAACAACTGGATCAAACTTTATACAAAAATGGTTTGAGTCTAGTACCTAAACTAGGATATAACAAAACCAGGCTTGAATAATTGTTCCCCAACTAGCAGAGCTGGGGCTGTAGTTCAGTGGTACAGCTAAGATAACAAGACTAAATGAAGGGATCATACACTAAGGCTGATGAATGCATGCATTGTAAATATTAGCAAGAAGAATGGAAAGGAAGAAGAAAAGATGTTTTGGTGGTAGATTTTGTTTCAAAAGTATTTTGAGATGTGTTGTTTTCAAGAGAGTGGGTGGAACAAACCATAGTTCTCCTTTTGCTGTATCAAGGCCAGAAGATTTTTCTGGGATGTCCTAGAAACCCTTTATCTTCTTATCATGTGTTTCTTATATTTCTTAGAGTTCTGACTTGCACGATACTTTTCAAGACAATTTTTATGCTGTCCAGTATGGAGTGGAGACAGAAGGCTCACTGGGGCTTGCTTGCTACATGCCTCAGAATCAGTGAGAAATGCTATGGTAAAGAAAAGAGTAATAGAGCAGGTCACCTGACGTCCTCCTCTAGCCTCCATTCATGTACACATATACACACATGCACATGAGTGCACACACAGCAATACTGCCCCCCCCATAGCATTTATGCTGAAACCTTGGTCAAATCTCTTCACCGCATGCACGGCTGTGTCTTCCCACATATCATATAAATTATCTGGACTTTTATCCTCAACCAAGCCAGGGGAGAAAAAAGAAGACTATTTTTAATGAGCAAAGGGCTCTGATCTTATTACAGAGAACTTGATCAATTATGTTCATTCATTACTGCTTTATTCATAAAAAACAGCCCATATGTCAGTCAACAAATGAATGGATAAAGAAAATGTGGTATAGTTACACAATGGATTATTACTCATTAAGAAGTGAAATCAGCTGGGTGAGTTGGCACATGCCTTTAATCCCAGAATTTGGGAAGCAGAGGCAGGTAGATCTCTGAGTCTAGTCCATCTGGTCTACAGAGCAAGTTCCAGGACATCCAGGGCTACATAGAGAGACCCTATTTTGAAAAAAGAAACAAAAAAGTGAAATAATAAAATTCTAGGTAAATGGACGTAGCTAGAAAAAAAATCTTCCTGAGTGAGGTAACCCAGAGAACAAAAGACAAATATGGTATATATTCGCTTATATGTGAATGTTAGCTGTAAAGTCTTGGATAAGCAGGCTACAATCCATATAACCATAGAAGTTACGGTAAGGGACTGTGGGGAGGACTGGATTACCCTAGGAGGGAACTAACAGAATAGAATAGTTATGGATGCATGTAGGGGGACTGGGGTGGGAGGATCAAATGGAGAGGAAGAGAGAAGAGGGGAAAAAGGGAGGGCATTCACGGAGGACAGCTAAACTTAAGGGCCATATGAGGGGTTGTATGGAAACAATATAGTAGAAGCTTCCTAAGATATGTACATATATGAAGGTGATCGAAATGAAATTGCCAAAGTTGGGGAAGACAGCCCCAATCTTTTGTTGTCAAATAAATATTCCCGTTCCAGGTTACATCTAATCCACTTGGTGGCCAAAGGGACTCCCGGGGAGCCCCCAAACAGCACAGTTTATTGCCAAGGCTACTGGTTGCTTCCACAAACTGATGGTAAGACCCTATTGCTGAAGAGACCTACAAAACTCACTGAACATGGAGAAGTTGAACTGGCACCTACCTAGAGTCTTCACCCTTACTATTTTTCAGGGTACTGGAAGGTACTTTGTATGCTACCAAGGGGAAAGGTAAACACTAACCTAGTTACAGAACATCTGATCTACAATGTGCTAGCGCAATAGTGGCACAAGGATTGTGGGACTAAGTATTCAATACCTGGTTGGATTTAAGGCCCATTCCAGATGAGATGGAACCCATCCCTGGAACTATTTGGGTGGCCAAGAACCTGAGACTAGATAGGTCAGGAACCTAGGGAAAAACCAAATACTATTGTTTTGTTAAAAGAATGTAGCAGCCGGGCCTTGGTGGTGCACGCCTTTAATCCCAGCACTTGAGGAGGCAGAGGCAGGCAGATCTCTGTGAGTTTGAGGTCAGCCTGGTCTACAGAGTGAGTTCCAGGACAGCCTCCAAAACAACACAGAGAAACCCTGTCTTGGAAAACAAAAACAAACAAACAAACAAACAAACAAAAAAAGAATGTAGCAACAAAATACCTTCTAATGACACTCTGCTCTATTCATAGATCAATGCCTTGCTCAACCATCATCAGAGGAGTTTCCTCCTGCAGCAGATGGGGATAAATACAGAGACCATAGCTGGACACTGAAAGGGGATGTCCTTCTGTATATGTTTCTCTTATTGGTTGACGAATAAAACACTACTTTGCCAATGAGGCAGGAAGATAGGTGGGACTAGGAGATGAGAATTCCAGGAAAGGTAGGTGGAGAGAACCTTCCAGAAACAGACAACATGTAGCCGCCAAAGGAGTAACAGGTCCGGGCATTCTCTGGTAAGCCAAAACCACGTGGAAATACATAAATAGAAATGGGTTAATAATTAAGATAGAGCTGGCCAATAAGAAGCCCTAGCCATGGGCCAACAGTTATGTAAGTCTTTGTGTGGTCATTTGGGGCAGAAACGGTGGGACCTGGTGGGACAAGAAACCACTAGCAACAGGACAGTGTGCAGAGAGTGAGATGCCTTGAAACACTTGGCCCTAAATGGGATGTCTCCATCATACTCACCCCTCAGTGCTCAGGGACCCTTGTGGAAGAGAAGGCAGAAAGACGGTAGGAGCAAGACTGTCTCTATCCTTGTATTCTGTCTATAAATGTAGAATTGATTATAGGATCTCTAATACGCATTGCTTGTTGATAATGATATTAATATCATACTATGATAGTTATAATCAATATACATTTTTTATGTTTTTTGAGATAGGGTTTCTCTGTATTGTTTTGGAGGCTGCTCTGTAGATCGAGGCTGGCCTCGAACTCACAGGGATCCGCCTGCCTCTGTCTCCCGAGTGCTGGGATTAAAGGCGTGCACCACCAACACCTGGCCTTCAATATACATTTTCTAATATTCTATTTTATGTATATACCTATAGAAACAACTGTGTAGGAGTGCTAAAACAAAGTTATAATTACTAAGGCATCTCAGACAATTTAGATTATCCAACTGGATTAAAAAAATAAAAAGGGAATGAGCTGGGTGGCTGTGGTGGTGTACACCTTTAGTCCCTGCTCTTGGAAGGCAGAGGCAAATGGATCTCTGAGTTTGAGTCCAGCTCAGTTTACAGAGTGAGTTCTAGGACAGCCAAGGCTAAGACAAAGAATTGTCTTGAAAAACCAATTACAGCAGCAATAACAACAACACAACAGAATGATGCAAGTGATTATCCAAAATAAT